CGCGGGCGCGTCGCACCCGCGGCACCAGTTACCGCCGCCGCCGTTTTTGGGCTTCAACGCGGCCAAGAACCCGGGGAGACCGTCGTCGTCGTCCGCAGTCGTATCGACCGGTGATAGACATTCGTCGACGGTTCCGGCCGCCGGCGACGAGTGGCGCACGTCCGCGAGTTCTGCGAGCGACCGATTGCCGACCGGTTCCGGGCTTGTTGAACCGAACAACTCTTGCGAACCGTTCGCGATTCCCACGGCTCGCGCGCGACCGCGGTCGAGTCCTTCCGGTAAGGCCGCCGAACCTTTAGCGTCGACGATCATCCCGTTCAAACGGTCCAGTTCGGTCCGCATCTGGCGCTCGATCGTTTTCAGACGGAAGTTCACGTCCGCCGCATTGACACGGCCATCGGTCACCTCCGCCATCGCCAAGTCCCTGAATCCATCGAAGAACACTTGGATGTTGACGATGAAATCGTTATAGGTGTCCACGTGTCGCCGCAACGCCGTGTCCGTATCGTCGTCGTCTTCTGTCCATGACGAAGAACTGCGCTGACGTCTCATCGGCGCGCGGTCGGCCGCAGTCGATCGTTCACTCGGCAAATTCTCGGAGTCTTGTCGGCAAATTATGTGCCCGTGTCGTACCCTTACACCATCGTTGGATTCGCCTGGTTAAGAATACAAAAACACCAACAATTCGTACGTGCCTTACATTGGTTTTTTATGTGTACTTAAAATAAATATTACACGATGATAATTCTAACGAGAAAAAAAAATCATACGATTGGTATAACGCACTGGTTAGTAATAAACAAATACGTTATTCTGTGAATGAAAACAAAGTCGGGAAATAAAAGAATGAACTATTCTGTAATTTAAGCCATAACCAATGATTCAGTGGCGCACAGAAGTATTTTGAGAGCACATGCAACTAAAAAAAGTTACCCAGCTACCCACCAATTTTTTTTTTTTAAAAAAAAAAATGTTCGTTTAAATTGTTGTCTGTAACTTAGGGTTGTCATACGTCCCGGTTTTTAACCAAGTGTCCCGGTATCCCGAGTGTTTCGGAACAGCGATTTGTCCCGGTTTCAAAATTTTACTCAATAAAATATCAAAAAAATTGAAAACAATAGAAAGGATCGGCTTTTCACGGTAGAAATTGAAAATTTCGTAACAAAACTTGAGAACAAGGAATTATCAATAAAACTAATTTTGAAAGTTAATTTGATGAATTTGATGTATTTTGTTACAACTATTTAAAAAAATGGAACAATTCAAATCAACATGTATCTCATTTAAAATCAATGTTATGGATAACATTAGCTCCAAAGATAATAGTAAATTGGGAAAATGTTAAAAAATCAGTAATCTTTATAAAAGCTATAACGTCAAACAATCTTAATTTTAATGAATAAATGTTTTTCGAACAATTCAAAATGTTTGAAAAAATTAATCCATAAAATGACGAGTGGCATTGTCAAAAAATAGAAAATAAATGGATATATATTTTCAAAATATTCACTGATAACAATCATACATTTTCTGAGATGTTAAAAGTTGTTGGATTTATTTTTGTTTTGTAGGGTTTAAATGCACTAATGAACAGCACATGGACAAATATAAGACAATCACTAGATATAAAAACGTGCTTCAAATTATAACATGCAATAATACATCTTATGAAGAATTCTACGACCAAAATTTGGGAAACGAGTCTTTATTAAAACAAGTTTATGGATCATTTAAATATGTAGTAAAATCAACAGAAGAAATTCTAGACCCCAAAAGATCCAAAGACTAAAAATATGAATTATTATGATTATTATTATTATATTGCTTCTATACAAAATTCATTAAAATATATATATATATATTTTTTTTTCTTTTATATGAAGATATATATATATATCAGTGGCGTTCTCAGGAATTTTCAATGGGGGGCTCTGCCTCCCACACTCCCCATAGTCATAATAATTACAAATTTTGTACTGTTTTAAAAACCACATTACCAAAAATTGTCACCGAATTGTTAAATTGATAGCGCGATCGTGTCATAGAACATGTTCTATGATCGTGTTCCAATCCAACTTGATAACCGTGATACTGGTAGCTAATGACGTATAAACCACTAAATTATAATCAATAAAATCAATAATCAATTATTATTAAACTATTGGAATAATTTAAAAAAAATATGGCCAATGGGGGGGGGGTTCAAACCCCATGAACCCCTCCCCCCGTGAGTACTCCACTGATATATATATATATATATGTTTAATATTTATCCATTCAAAAAGTCCCGGGTTCGGAAAAATAAAATCTGGTAACCCTACTGTAACTGTAATTAACTCTTAAAACAACTATAAAATTTAAGAAATTAAGATTTATTATAATTAATTAAACTTAAGATGTCTACACCCAGTGCCGTATAGGTATAGTGTTTGTGTTACCTATAATAATAATGTTATTTGCTTACCATACTCCATAATGTTTAGTATCGAAGTTTCCCAATTATATATCCACGAATCCACCCATACATCCACCCCCGACGAGAGCACATGCAATTGCACTCCTTGGTAACCTGTCTGGGCGCCACTGCTATAAATTGTGTTTGACTTCCGACAGATTCATCGTCCCCTTGCCCCAATACATATTGCTTCATATTTATGCTCAATACATTATTAATCCTAAGTAATAAAACGGTAACTAATCTAGAAACGTCCATTTTCCACGTGTATCCATTGATTTAGTCTTACAAAAAAAGCCTCGAGTCAATTGTACGTAAAAAAAGGTCAATGAGGTTAATACCAAACCCCCCCTTTTATTTTTGACGATAAGCTATTGGATTTGTTAACAAAAGATCCTAGTTTAAAATCAATAAAATGTAATTTAAGACTTATAGCGACTAGTAGCAGTGTAACGGTTCCTTTACTGTATTTCCGTGCAATAAAATTAAAATTAGATGTTTAAGAAGTACCATAGAAATAATAATCGTTCCTAATAAATGCGATGTCAAGGAAATATGTTTGGTATTTTTGATATTTGAAGAAAAAAAAGGTTCGGAGTTGGCAATTTAATGAGTGACAAAAATAAGAAAATTTTTTATACGGCCTCGCGGCGACGTTTCAAACCACTATCGTTGTGTTGACGATTAGTGCAAGCTAAGGTTTATAGATTATAGTTTACATCAGCGATCTTCAACCGGTGGGTTGCAACCAGATTTAAGATTGGGTCGTAATAAATCTTCTGTTTAAAATTCATTTCCATACATATTATATTATATATGTCATATCATATCGAATTAAATAATTTTTGAATAAAGCCGAAACCGTACTATATTTGTAGAAGATACGAATGAATACTCCTCAGTTATACACTCATATTCATACTTATTCTTAATTACAGCCCTTATTTTTCATAAAAACTCGTACCCACTACACATTTTTTACACATTTACAATGATATGAAACAGAGCCCCTCTACAAATAATTATTAAACTAGCTGAACCCGTGCACTTCGTAGCCCATATATAGAATTCGCCCGTGTGCTTTCTCTAAATGCAATTCTTAAATCCGATGTTTATTATTTATCTTCTTTCTTTTTTCGATCCCCAAGCAACAAACGAATATAATACTATAAACGACGAAAATTTTCAAACGAAAATAATAGCACGTAGGTTGTATAGTTAAAATTAGTTTTATAATAACTAATAGCCTACTCCTGTGCGCTTCGCAGCACCAACACAAAAATGCAATAAAAATCATTTATTTTTTCTAAATTCTTTATTATTAATCCAACACATTTGTGTAAACAATATTCTTTGTTTGTCCATTTGGGGCATACACAAATAAACAATTTGGAGTGCCAACTCTTGAACAGGCCACGTATAATTGCCCGTGCGAAAAACACGGCTTCTCCAAATCCAAACCGCATACTTGGAGCGTTTGTCCTTGTGCCTTATTGATGGACATAGCGAATGATAGGCGCACGGGAAATTGCAACCGTTTGAATTCAAATGGCATGTCTGTTGGTATCAGAGGAATACGTGGGATGAGTACAAATTCCCCCTTCACTTTGTCAGTCAATATTGTGGCCTCGATTAAATTCGGCATCAATCTTTTTACAGCTAATCTTGTGCCGTTGCACAGTTTTGGTGCATTCAAATTCCGTAGTAAAATAATTGATGAGCCGACCTTCAAATTCAAGAAATGCGGCGGTATACCGAGTGGTTCTAACAAATTCAAAAATTCAACTGGATAGTTGACTGCATCATCTTCATTCAATGCGCTATCAATAGATTTGTATGATATTACTGCACCAGGCAATTTTTCTTGGATGAGATAATTGATAGCATTGACTTGCACATTTTTTGGTGCTAGAATTGCGCGTTCATTCAACCAATTGTGATTCCTGTGATTCTGGATAATATTTGGAAACACTCGTTCAATCAATTCTTCTTTTGATTGGAGAATTGTACAAAAATTGTTTGGCAAACTAATTAAACCGTTTGTGTTATCGATTTGAACTATTAGTCATTTAGATTCATTCACTTATTATTTATATACTTGAACCCCAAGCTCGACAAAGCTGCCTATAAATAAATTAATATGGAAAAAAAAAAAGAGAGCAAAAACAAAATCTATGTCATTACCGAGAGAAAATAGGAGGCGGAAAACCACGATAGGTTTTATATTTTCATAAGTTATGAAAACATATATAGGACTTTTAATGTCGAAAGAAACCCCATAATATACTTGAACTTTTGCATCTTTAATTATCGCTGTTTGGTTTTTGTACGCAATGAACCACAAACAGGTAATGTAATTCATTAAAACTTCAATCAATAAACAATCAATAATTTATAATCGGTAAGGTAATAACAATATACATTAAGTATAAAATATACAAAATAAAAATGTATTTACAACCGGTTTTGATTATATTGGTCGTTAATATATTTGTAAATTTCAGACAATAAATATGTAGTTTTTACATTTTATTTACATTGTTATTATCAGCAATATTTGATTTATTTAATAAGTTATTTGTATAATAGTACTCTGTTATCTCTGTTATTATTTTAGGAGTATTAACCACAAAATAATTTTATTTTCATTGATTGTATATTAGGTATACGTTATACAATATTACCATACAATTATACGTATCTAGGTATGAAATAACAAAATCAACTGAATACTGGAGACACAGAAAGTTTTACCCAAATCCAGAAGACAAAATTCTTAGAAAAAAAAAACATAATTATACATTTTTATAATATTAAAATACATGTGATTGAATATAGAGTAAGTACTTTAAATTGCCATTGAAATGTTCATATTATGATTTATAATTCGTTTTTGATTTTAAATAGTTTACAAGTTTTTATTTTGTAATAAACATTCAGTTTTTCCTCAGGTGATTACTGTATTACTATGAAGTAACTATTGACGGTCATAGGCGCAACTAGAGCCCAAATATTGGGGGTGCTGAAATTACATAGCTCGCACTATTGCAATATTGGGTGGCTACGCCAAAACTCCTTCCACCCCAAGTACCTTATCTCAATTTAATCATTAAATGTATCATAACAACACACATACACTAATATTTTAATTTATAAATATTAACAAGCATAAATTGTAATATACCTATTTATTATAAATATTATATGTTTTATATTGTATATTATATTAATTTATTTAGGCCATACAGCTTTAAGAAATATACAAATTAAAAAAATATACAATATAAAACATATAATATTTATATTGGTATTATCTTGCGATGACTAGTGGAATATTTTTCAAGTAATTCTGACGATGTAATTAACAAATAGTCATGAACAATTCAACTTTTTGATAAAATCATCAAATACAAATAACTATATAAAATAAGAAAAACACTATTTTTTCACACAATTTTTCCATTATTAATTTTTTAACTGGGGATCCTAAATTAGAGCCTGGGGGTGCTATAGCACCCTCCTAGTTGCGCCTATGTTGACGGTATGTAATGTATTTACAATGGTATCAATTTATTTAAATAATTTTAATTTCTATTTCAGTAAAAAATAAAAATTTCAAGTTCTGTCAACATTTACAACTGTTTTCCACCACCTCCATCTAAATTATAAAAATATCCATATTCAAACACTCTTTGGCGTAGTATATTCTCAACAAAATGTATGCAATTTATATTGCCTACTGTTAATTACCATGTATTCTATAGATACCCAGGTCCGTATTTAAAAATTTAGCGCCCCCCGGGCATATAATGTATGCCCCCCCTGTAAAAAATAAATAATAATAATATAACACTTATTATTTCGTCCATAATCGAGATTCTATAATAAAATATAACTTATAAATGAAAATCATTTTTTTAATTAACAAATTAAACAAATTATAACATAATAAAACATACTATTTTTTTTTTCATTAGGTATATCATTTTTAAAATTAATTTTGCTAAAATATTTTGCCACCCCTGAGACATGACGCCCCCGGGCATGTGCCTACCCGTGCCCCTCCATAAATACGGAACTATAGGTACCTAACTTCTTTATGTATATTCATGACATCTGATATATTGTTAACTAGACAGAACATTAATCAATTTATTATTACATTTTTGAGTGCATACGAGTATATTATACTTCATGATTTTTAAAATTGAATAAATGAAAAAAACATAAAAAAAATTAATATTTTATAATTAGTTGAAATACAGTATAAATAATTGATAATTAATAATACATACTTACCTACCGTTGTCTGTATTGTTGTATAATACATTTATACGTTAGTACACGGATTTTATTATGTACAATAATATTAAATAACATGTAGGGTTCATTAACAGATCTTGCATTTATTGTATCAAGAAAGACAATACAGTCAATGCGACAGATAATGCACTGTCAAATATAGTTTGTGTATAAGATAAAAGTAAATGCACAGGTCGGCGTTGCGTTCAGGAATCAACGAACACACGTCAGTAAAGGCGTTGTCGCAGCCGTATGGAAAAATTAAATTTCAAAATAGTTGAACAAAAATAACTTTAAAGGAAAAACAATGACGTTTCGAATTTTGAACATTTTTTTTTTTTTTGAAGATGAAGACAACTATTTACAGATCGCATCGGATTGCAATTTTTGATATAATTTTACTTTATGTTAAAAAAACAAAATTTCGAAATATTAAGGCACTTATCCACAGTTTCTATAATTTTAATTTAAAATGTTGAAGTGCAATGCGATCTGTTAAGTCTTCTATTAAAAAAAAAAAATCAAATTCTATAACTCTATAAGCGTTCTTTCCGCAAGACAATTTCCATTTACTGAAATCACAATGACTCCGACTCTGTTTATAGTATACATATACTCGCGTATAACCAATTATAAGTATACGCATCAACCAAAATATAAAGAAGTCAGTCATTATACTCCGTTTATTCGCGTATACGCTCCACTTTGCAATAATGTATGTATGCACAATAATCCTGAAATATTCCAGCAGTGGTCAAGTACAGTAAATAGTATTGCAGAATAAAGGTAATTTATTTTATTTTTATATTTAAATTTCATTTATACTGTAGTAGTATATAGTTTTATGTTGTTTCGCGGATTGACTTTTGCGAAAAAATACTAAATTTTGTACGTCTAATGTATAAATTATACAACATATATTTTATATACTGATATAAGTATAAAATATAGTATAATTAAATAATAGATATGTATCAGTTACAATAAAACAGGCTTTTGAACAGAGTGAATAATGGGTATTGTCATTGTATACATACCTACTATATATAAGGATGACTTCAAAATTCGGTGTGCTGTCAAACAGGTATAACAATGATGAAAGAGGGTGCTAGGTAGATAATAGATAAAATGCTTGTCTCTAATAAAAACACCTTTAGGTAATCTAAGAATGCTTTTGATTTGAAAGGAGAAAAAATATGTAATTATTAGGGCCCGGAAAGATATGCACTAAAAACGTACGAAATATGCATACATTTACGCGAAAATATGGAAACAAAAATGCATTTTTATTATTTATTAAATTTATTTAATTTTAAAATTTATATATATTATTAAACTGTATGGAACTGTATGTTGTATTGAAATTAAATTGTATTTTGAACACTCACTCATCTAGACAAAGTCACAAACGAAAATAAATTTAAACAAATCAGGCGGATTTTTATAATATTTTTAATTACCTGGAGAGTTACTATCGTATTGATACTTTTAGTAAACCTTATCTTATCTTATTATAACACAAAAATGAAATTATATAACTGCACGATTCACGGAATTTACAATGGACATGTGCTAAGTAATAAATAATAATATTAATAAATTCTTAATATTTTTTTCTATACATGCATTATATTTCAGAAAAATGCTAAAATATGGATAATAATTTGAAATGTTCCAAATATGCAAAAATTTGTCAAATTTAATTTCGCATACCAAAACATTAGATTAAGATTCAAATTTCTCTTTCCTAGCTACTTTTTAGTTTAATATATAAAAATATGCAAATGCATACAATTTCGGGCTCTAGTAATTTTAATATCACGAAAAAAAAATAATATACTTGTAATTTTTTTGTTTAATTAATGGTAAATAATTTAAGATATCTTGAAAAAACATAATTTATAGATAAATTTGATATTGATATACAACTTAAGCAATGCTTGATAGACTGTGCAAAAATTAAGTGGGTAATCTAATACCATAGAACCTAATCATGGCCATGTAATAAAAAATCCCTCTTTTGGATGTCCTTATTAATTATTTATAAACTTTTCGCAAACAAAAACCTAATCTGTATTACTCTTTTTTTGAGAAACTCCTAATAAAATGAAGGTATATAATTGATTAATTATCAGTAACACAGACACTATAAACATTAGTTGATTTAATAATAATAGCGCGTTGATAAATACATTCTTTTTGTACAAAAAACATGTAAACATTATTTGTATTAACACCGACAAAGATGTTAGAATTGATTTGTCATATATATGTATACATATACATATACATATATATATATATATATATATATTTGTTTAATAAAATATAATAATATAATATAAAAATATTGAGTTGAATTCAAATGTTAATGTATGTTTTAAACATTTTGAATTATGAACCTTTTTCTGTAAAAATTATTTTCACAGTCAATGAGTTTCTAATCTTAAATCTTTAGTAATAGGACTAGGAAAATGAAAGTTTGTCGAGAGTATAAAAATTCTGTAGGAGAATTTTCTGTTTAAATAGTAAAACCACAAGTACAAAAAAAAAACATTTACTAAACTAATGATAATATGTCTACATTAATTATCTTACACTTTTAGGTTTTATAAACATCAAAAATTTTACATTAAAGAAAAAAAAAAAATACAATAGTCCCCATTGATGTCTTATAAATAGTACCAAATTTTTCATGATCCAGAACCTGTTGTATAGGTTATAATATTGTTATTTTATAAGGAAACAAAAATATATTATCCCGCCGAAGGCTCAATTTTAAAAAAGTTATAATAATATTCTATTTGAACAATGATTAAACAACTAACAAATAATAGTAGGCGAAAAAATTTCACAAAGATATAACTTACATAAATAATAGTATTCTACTTTATACAAATAGAAATCATTGGTAAATGTTATTTTGTTTTTAGGTAACAATTTTTTTTATTCCTTGTCTATAGTTAAAGTTTAAAAATTTTCCTTTTGTTGTAAAAAATATGAATTCAAACATAATAATGACACTTAGGGAAGAATAACATTACGTAATTTAACAAAATAATAAAATGGTTAAGAACTTAAATAATATTATTGACAGTGCAAAATTTAAAACAACATAAACCTAAAAAAAATTGTTTTATTAATACAATAAATTCAAGTTATTCTAATGTTAGTCGGATAATTCAGCTGTTTCAGATCTGAATGTAATAATAAACAGTAATATAGGAACACATATTATAAACGCCACAAGTATTGCTGAAACAGCTGCATGTGCACCATTGAGCAGTATTTTATATTAAATTAAAAAATTGTATCCATCATACATGTATTGTAAAAATAGTGTTGTAAAAGAAAACAAAATTCGGACTTCTTAAAAAAATTTTATGAACAGCAATGCGAGGCAATTCTTAGCATTTTTTTATGACAATTGAAAAAATTACTTTATACTCGTAGTTGATACACAATAGGCAAAATAGTGATTCTCACCTGAAATGCCATCATACCTTGCATTTTTCAATAAGTTAGTCTTTCTAATGTATTCAAAGATAGACAATTTTATAATTAACACGTATACACAATTATTTTTATTAGCATAAAACAATTAATTAGAAGTATCTGTATACCAAAATTGAGTGAACAATATAAAATCATTCTATGTATCAATATAATACCAATATTATTTGACAGCTTGAATAATGGTATAAGAATTTATTTAGTAAATAAATATTTGAACATTTAAAATCAAACCAAAACTTTGGTTAAAAATAATCAATACATTTATAAAAAATTCTGTAATACAAATATACTAATTCTCAATTAATTGTTTTAATTTTTACGTTAACATTCAACTAATTATACTTAAGTATATATATGATTTATTTTAAAATTTGTTATCATTGATAAGATACGATGGGGGTAATCACATTATATAGGTATCAAATAAAAATAAACTTAGATACTTTCTAATGAGATTTTAAATCTGCTGATAATTAATTTAAATATTATAAAATATTTGATAAATTTCATAAGAGGTAAGACGGTTATTATATTTAGTTAGTGTTCACTCCATGATACTTAATATAATAATGAGTAATTTAATTAACAACTGTATGAGTTTTTAAATTGAATATAAAATAAGTCATTAAAATATTTTCAACTGATTTTAAAACAAAATTATTTACACTATTAAAATGCTATTTATGTTTTACAAAAGTTGAATGATTAAACCAGGTATCTAAACCAATCATATACTGCAGTTTCTTATTTAACATTTTAGTTTGATATTAATACAGTTAAATTTTAAGATGTACATATTGTTTTTAAATTATTATAACAAGCAATAATTCTGTATTATTAAAAAGAAAGTTCATACAAGCCACATTCCTAAAATAAATTAGCTATGATAATAATTTAAAGACTTAAGAATGTTGGTGAAACAGAATAATTTTTAAAAAGTAGGATCAATTAAGTATAACTTTTAAATTTTAGTCCTCAAAATTATGCATATAGTTCATAAATAAGATTAAAATAAAAATTGTTGGCAAATGGAAATTAGTTAAAAATGATTATTTGCCACTAAGTTAACAAAACGAGCAAAGGCTATATTACAAAATATAATTAAAAATGTATAATTCTATTATAACTTGATAACAAGTCTTTAAATGATTTCTAGAGTACAATCCCGCTTGTATAAATTTTCTACCTTAAATTTTTCCCTATCATTCTCCCTTATAACCCTATACAATTTTTAGAACTGTTATGATGTAAAATTAAGACAATTAAGACAAACATTATATTTCTCATAGAAATATTTGATGAAAAAAAAAAGAAAAAAAAAAAAAAACAAGAAAAAAAACAAGCTATACAATTTTTATGAATAAAAATTATATCCTGCACATAAGAGAGGCCGGTAAAATGTTTTAGAATAAATTTTCAACAATATGTACACAAAACAAACACTTTCAACAAGATGGGTAAAAAATAATAATAATAATAATAATAATAATAATTGAAAAAAAAAACAGCAATAATTTATAATAAATGACTACATACAGAACAGAAAATAATAATTGAAAAAATTCAATAAATACTGAACGATCATACAGTGTGACTTTTTGTGAGTTAAGTTTTAATAAGTATTTGACCAACGTTCAAAAAAAAAAAAAAAATTCACTAGTTCAAAACATTGTATAATATTAATATAATTTATATACAAAAAATAGCCTAATGTCAAAAAGAAAAAATATGAAGAGTAAAGTCAGTTTATCATTTATAGTAAATTGATTAATTGTTAAGCAATATTTTACGGAATCACTTACATATTTTTTTTTTTTGTTCACGTATGACTGAAACACGAACTGGCACTAATTGATATTGATCCAGCTAGATCTTGATAGCTAAACTGTGGGAAGTAAGGTTGGGATTGTTCCATTTCTTCTGCAATGCTGTTTAAATGATGAGAAGATAGGTCAGGTGGAGTAAGTTCAACAGATTCTCCAGTAAATTCAGAGTCAAAATATCGTGTATCTGTATCTGATGATACTTGAGGTTGGAATGGAGGAGGGATTTATAATAAATTTAAAAAAACCAATTTTAGTGCACTCTTAAAATGATAAATTAATTTTGAAGACTACTATTTAAATGATATATATATATATATATTACTTTTTTTTGTTCCAAATCCAACCAATTAATACTACTAAAGAAAACATGACTCATAATTTCTTGGGCATCATCAGGGCCTCCACCTAATCGCTTTTTGGGATCTTTAATCAAAAGGCCTGAAAGTAAACATTTTGCAGCAGCAGAAAGACCCCTAGGAAATCGTACCTAAAGTTTTAAAATAGTTAATATAAAAATATATTACAGAAACCATAGAAATTATTATAACATACAGTTTCCATCAAGATTAAAGTAAATAATTTGTCATGATCTTTATTGTAAAATGGCAAACGTCCGCACATCATCTCGTACATAACTACTCCAATTCCCCACCAATCAACAGCTCGACCATAGTCTAAATCTTCCAACACTTCAGGTGCTAGGTATTCTGGTGTACCACAGAATGTTTTGGTTGTTGATCCATAGGTGATATCTTCTTTGCACAGTCCAAAATCGGCTATTTTAATGTGACCATCCTTATCTAATAGTAAATTTTCAAGCTAAAAGAATAATTATAAATAAAAACAAGTACAAAATATTAATAATAATTTTAATTTTTTACTTTTAAATCCCTGTAAATAATTCCTTGGGAATGTAAGTAGCCCAAAGCAGATATAATTTCAGCCCCATAAAAACGGGTTCTATCTTCTGTAAACACTCGTTCTCTAGATAAATGGAAAAATAGTTCTCCACCATTTACATACTCCATAACAAAACATAATCTATCAGCAGTTTGAAATGAGTATTTCAATGACTAGAAAATAACAATAGTAAAATAATTTATATAATTAGAATACAAAAATTAATTTAATAATTACTATTAGAAAAGGATGACTAGTAGTGCGGAGAACCCTGTTTTCAGTAAGTGTATGAGCAACTTCATCTTTTTGGATGATTACTTCTTTTTTAAGAATTTTAATAGCATACAAGTGACCAGTTGCTTTTTCTCGACATAAAATAACTTTACCAAAAGTACCTTTGCCAAGTACTTTAAGAAACTCAAAATTCTCAAGAGTCTAAAAAATAAACAATGAATTGAAAAATATAACAATTAGCATATAGTTTTTAACTCTAGCAATACATACCACTTTTCGTTTTCCAGTAGATTTACTTGAAGACGTTCCTTGAACAGAAAATTTGGCACTGAAGTCATCTGAACTTGGTCCAGACATTGTACTTGACATACTAGTTGAATGAGATACACCTTCCATTTCAACTTCATCAACATCGGACAAACGTTCTGATACACCCTTAATGGCAGTCATCCATTCTTCTCTAAATGAGGGAAAAATAGATTATGTGATTATTCTACTAAATCTAAGACCATATAAAATTTGAGGTAAAATTAAGAATATATGTATCATCATCTAAAGGCAACACCTTAATTAAGTAGCTATGTATTTTACAGAATAAATATTATTATAACATCACCATTTATATTAATTATACTTTTTTTTGTTCATTTTTATTTTAATTTTAAAATGCATGAAATCATACCAAGTAAATATATAAATCCATAAAAAATATAATCCTATGTGGATGCAACTGCTCCACATTCGAGTCATTTTTAATTTTGAGGGATATTTTATTTAAAAAACCATTAAGGCAAGATTTTTCTGTCTATTACATTTTTATTATAAGAGGATTAAACTAAAATCTATACATCCGCCATTTTCGAAAAAAAAGTGAAGTTGTTAATTAGATAGGATTTTCCTTAGAAATATTTAGAAAAGGTGTTAGATTTCTAAAGTCTCAAATTTTGCAATAATTTATTTGAAATAAAAAATTATATTTCTACAAATATTGAAAGTATAATTTAATTTTTAACATTAGAATCTTAATAAAAATACTATAATAAAAAAATAAATAATGAACTCTGCATTTTAAGATTGAATATGATATGATTTGAATAACAATAAATATAATTTTTTTTATAAGTTTTCATAATTGTTTAAATATACAGCTCAGTATATTAGAAGAAAACACCTATAATTTTAAAAACACTGTTAATTAATAATTAAAGACAACAGTGAGTTGTCTTCCATAATTTTTAAAATAAGTGTTAAATATGTTATAAATAATTATTAATAGATTTTTGTTTGTTTTGTGTAGACATTCGTTGAAAATCAAAAATAATATCTTGAAAAAAAGACAATAGGCATATAAGTATGATATTCAAATACCTATTTATAATCTCTCATTTTTGTTTAAAACAATTTTTAAGTTATAATATTTATATTTAATTTACATATATATAGTTCAATAATTTATCAATAATTTTATATTTAAATAGGTAAATATGATAATATGGGCCCCAAAATTGAGAACAATTATATTTAACGGTTTTTCTCATGATTTTAAAAACAATTTTGAATTAACTAAGATCATGGTTAAAACTTAAAATTGAACATAAATATAATGAATATTAAAAGCTAGGCTTAAATGACTATAAATGACAAAATATAAAATATTATTTATATATATTTAAAATAGTCTGGTTGTAGATTCTAAATACAAATAGACATGTGGTTTATTAATTAAAGCTAAGTTTAAATAAGTTTGTTAATTAAGCAATAACTATTAAAAATTCATATTCAAATTTAAAACTTATTTTTAAAGATTTAAATATATATAATATATTAAATTTGATCAACATATTTATGTAAATTATAGGATAATATAATTGTTGTGTTTACGTCTATGTTAATGTTTTTATATTTTTGGAACCTATTAAAAATTAATAACTCAGTATAGTTATTAAATAGTTTGTATATTAATTAAACCTATTATTTATTTATTAATTATATTTCATTGAATAAATTAGTTTTATCAATGAAATTGTGCAGCAAAATTAATAATGGCTAAGCATTAATAATAATAAAAACATGTTCATTTAAAATGTATGTATCATAATATCTGTATTTTCCTAATTAAATTTATTAAGTTATATAATTGAATGTATTATGATGTAACTTTAAATTTAGGATAAATGTATAAATATAGGTAGCAAAAAATACTATTATATTTAGTTAATAAGTTTAATTTGTTAAAAAATTACAAATCTACTATTTTAAATAAAATTTTGATATTCTCATGAGTTTTAAATGTGAAAATAATCCCTTATAATTGATATCAAATTATTTTGGATGGAAAATATTAAAATTTTCTTCTGAATACTTTTGTATAAGTCTTCTTTTTCATCTTTCTTTCAACTATTTGGGGTCAGCCACCCTTGTCCTAAACCTCCACTAGTCTCAATTTTCTACATCCCTTACCCACACACCAATGGCCATCATATTATTCTTAATTGTATCCAACCATCTCTTTTTTGATCTTTCTCTTCCAATTTTTCCTTCAATAATAATTTTCATAACAATTCTCACTACATTTGTTTCCTTTTGTCTCATCACATGCCTAAACCATATCAGTATATTTTATCTCATCTTGTTCACTATAGACGCGACACCAATATTACCTCTCACATATTGATCCTTTATTCTATCTTCTATTGTCACTTTATTCATTCGCATCATAAAGACATTCACAATTTTGCAACCCTCTAACTCTGTTTTCTTCTCCTGTCAAACATCCAACACTCTGAACCATATAGCATAGTAGGTCTCACTACACTCCTGTAAAATTTACTTTTCAGCCTCATTAGAATTTTCTTATAAGATAAAATACTCGACACTTCTCTCCATTTCATCCAACCGCATTTAATCCTGTTTTAAATCCATTCTGAAGACTCCGTACTTTTGTACAAATGATCCTAAATATTTCAAGTTTTTGACTTCACCTATCACCGCTTATTGTTATTGGTTTTCTCATACCCTCAACTTTTTGGTATCTTCCTCTAAAATCATACTCTATGTACTCAGTTTTATTTCTAATAATTTTCAATCTCTTTCTTTCAAGAGCTACTCCACTGATACAATGTATCATTAACTTCTTTCAGATTTTGTCCTACCAAAACTATATCATCAGCAAACATCATACATCATGGTATCTCGGCCTGTATGTCTTTCATAACTTAATCCATTACCACAGAGAACAAATAAGGATTTAGAACCGACCTCTGATATACACTAAGTACAACATTAAAATCTTCTGTTACTCCACACAAACTCTTTACACTAGTTCTCGACTCTTCATACATATCCTGAATCAAATTTATGTATTTTTGGGATTTCGTTTTTCATTAATGTCCACTTCTAAACTTCTTTAGTCACTATGTCATACATCTTTTTTAAATCAATAAACACTATGAAAATATTTATGAAATGAATACTTCGATTTCAGTTTATAGTATTATAGTACACTGATTTTATAAAAAAACAAACTTTTATTTCATCACTATTTGTTAGCAAAGCAGTTTTTTTTTTTATTAAGGGGTTAAAGTATGTATTAACATTAAATAATTTTTGCTCAATATTTATTTATTGCATATAATAAATTATAAATGGTTAGATGGTTACGAAAATGAATGAAATGCAATTCAAATGATTATAGTTAGTATTGAATTAATTGAATCACAGTAAGTAATAATTAATACATACATAAGGAACAATTTAAAGTTACCCTAAGGAACCTAATTTTTAAAAATGATTAAAAGTTTATGTAAGAAAAAAAATTATTGTATCCATAAGAGAACAAGCTTAATATAAAATATGATATTTCTTTTATTTAACATGTGTTATTTTTTTTTAATCAGTGCTATTAGCTTCAAAGAAACTTGTTTATAACATTTTTGTTCCAAATTTAATTATAATCATATTAGTAGCAAAAATAATATACTTTTAATATTAATATATCAACTGTTAACCTCTAGTTTATCATTAATTTATTTGTTTGTTTATGCCTTTATTGAACAAAATAAAACTATCAAAGTTGTTTTTAATAACAATGTTTCTATCAAATTGTTTAATTAATTTAGCCACTAATTTAAAAAATTAAATAAAATCCTTAATATATTATCAAATATTTTTTAGTTAGTTTTAAAACAACACATACATACTTTAAGAGAACACGTAATATATATATGGAAAATTAACTAATTTATTATTAAAATATAAATAATTATTTTTCCACAAACAATTATTAAAATCAAAGAATATATATATATATATATATATATTATTAAACGATATAAGTACTTTTGTTATTTAATATTAAAACTAAAATGTTAAATAAGAAGTAAACACCTAATATATCACAAATCTTTAAAAAACAGAATTTAACTGATTAAATCTTATTTTTTATAGTGTAATAAATATGTATGATATTCTAATAAAAATATAATGGGTATTATCTTGTATACTTTAATATACATATACTTCCTTAAAAAAGTAAAAAATATTGGGGAAAAAAAATACAAAGGAATAGAAAGGTATTTTAGGCGTGGCACCAGTGACTAGCTTATTAAGAACATGTAATGAAGATGGTACTATTAGGATAGTACTAGAATGAAGGTCTTAGAAAAAGTGCTCAAAGAAAAAATAAACAAATGTAGTTGAGGGTTTAAAGAGGAGAAATAGAAATGAGGTACAAGACAGCAATATATGGCATGATGTAGTATTAGCAATGAAGAGTTAATGCTAATAAAAGAAAAAATTGATAATTATTAGGATTTTGAAAGTTGTACGTTTCTATTAATTATTTTGACATAAAAGTAATTTCATGAATGCTACAATGCAGTATAGTTTCTTCTATAGTAACAAAAACATGCTTACTGAAATTGAAATAAACCAATATTTTTGGGATTATCTACTAGATTTTGAAAAAATGAATTTTAAGCAAAGTTGTAATCTGTTTTGTTTTAATTTATATTAATGATGAATTAATGAACATAATATTACAATTTTACTTGTTAATTTATTAATGAAATATTAAAAATTAATATAAATAACTCATAAAAAAATATCTTTAAATCAATGTACCCAACTTTTCATTTAATTTAAAGGACCAAACATAGCAACTTAAAATAAATATGAACTTTTATTTATATTCAATACTTTTAATTCTAATGTACTTCTAATCTAATTTAATAACAATAAGATATTTAGGGTTATTATTAAAAAAAACAAATTAAGTAAGATAAACTATTGAATCAGAACGAATAACAAAAATATTTACAAACATACTAATTAACTAATTGTTCATCATTCAAAAATAACATATGACAAATGTCATAAATATGTTTTTCTTAATTTAATTTTATAGATATAACAGTAAATACAATAGGATGGAACATAACATCATTACGACTCAACTAAAGTAAACTTATTTAAATCAATTCCAAAACGACTGATCATATTATTTATCTAGTATGTTAAAATTGTAATAATCCATACATTCCTAAGACTTAATGTTGCTGTTTATTAATACTTAAAAGTATCCAACTTCTAATTTTATTTCATGAAACATTAACCTATAAATTCAACTTTCAAATTTAGTTTTAGCAATTTTATTCTACTTGGATAAAAGTTTAAATTTGTTAAAAACCATAATTTATTAAAAGTGAATATTAGGATGATAAATGTAAGTCTAAGCATTGACCCGGTAAGTTTGAAATTCAAATAATAATATACTAACCTTTCTTTTTCAGAAGATACATGAAATGTTCGTTCAATAACAGTAGTCCATTGCAATCCTCTGATTGTGAATGTATAAGGTTTAGGGCGATCAACACTCATTATTTGACATCGCTTGACAGTAAAATTGTTAAGAGGTTCAGTCATGGGACCTTCAGGTTTGTTTCTATAGCCCATGAGAGATCCATCAGCAAACAATATAAAATACCTGGACCTCCAGTTCTTGATGTGTTCGCCTAAAAACATTATAGGTAAATAGTAAAGTATTGTAAAAATGATGCTAAATAATAGCAATAATACCTCTTTTGAATAGCCATCCTTCTTTGACAATCGATGATTGACTGGATGACAAGGGTAATGGGTTGCAGATTGACTGCAATACGTCTGCCATGGTTTCACGCTTGACACTTGGCGACGGTTCCGTCGGATCAGATCATCTGGAACCCACGAGGGCATGAAACGAATGAGAAAAATTTAAAAAAATGTCATCAGAAAATAAACACACAAACACACACCACGATTTTTTGACGTACGAGGAGACTGGACGGGATAGCGATAAATATATAATACGCGGGTGCCGCTGGAGATTAATAACACAAATCGAGTACACGCGAAACTACGCAGCCGTTGGACAAATCTTACAGAATTTTAGCAACGAAAAACAAGAGGGATAGAAGAACATTTCAATTAAAATAACATGGAATGCTCGTACGCGATTATCAGACAACGGTGGCTAAGACCACCTCCACCACCACACGAGTTGTAGTCGCGGTCGACATTAAAATGAAAAATGAATAAATAAATAAATAAAAACCAAAATACCAACGCAATTGTTGTAGTGCAATGCAATAATTCGTTTTTACCCGAATAGATAATAGTACGACGCAGAAGGCATGATCGAAGCGTGTCTCGTTCCAGTTGCGGTCGAGTGTACTATAACTATATAGGTATATATAGGTAGCAACGTAAGTGCGCATGTGTGCGTGTAAGCGCCGCGCTCCCGCGAGTGTGTGCGTGTAACGAGAGTTCAAACGAAATAGGCTTCACGACGGTTGTCGCCGAGTTTCGTAGAAACAGAAAATACACTGCCGATGCGCGATTATTGTTTCACGCGGATCGATTTGTCAATGAGAAGACCAAAATGGTTTTAAGTCGCACGGTACACATACACGATGTCAGGAGTCATTTCTCGGATAGACGACGACAAATTTATTTAATATTCTCTTTTCGTGAGATTAAACGAGCATTCGTGTGTATCCATATACAATACTCGTCTTTTATTAAATAAAGTCATATTTGCCCTATGCAATTATAATGAGAATAGTACCATTACATTAAGTCATAGTGTCTCCGTGATAATATGGTAACCGGACCGATGAGTCGAGCAGCGCGCGCCGAAAAGAATTCCGCCTCCCGCCAGACCGATTTCCACTACTATTACATACGTGTTCTTAGATTTCTTACTTTTATTATTTTGTTTCTTATAGGTTTTGATTCACAGATACTGGATACTGGGATTCCTTCGATGTCGACGTTATGAAGTTAACACCACAGTCATTTTGTTTTGATCCTTTTCTTTTAATTTTTTATTATTGTTATTATTATTAACGAACTCGGTTTGTTGTTGTTTTTTTATCGCCATTTAGTAATCGTCGACGGACGTGGACTAGGGCGGCGGCGGTGAACAGCTCTACATACGCAGAGAGAGAGAGAGAGAGAAAGAGAGGATTGAACTTTACAGTGTCACCGATGACGCTACACGTCATTTCCCCTTTTTTAATAATCCATACATACACTGTAGCTATTGACAGCTGCATCGTTTCACCGCCCGTGACACTATTTGAAAATGGTTCTTCGTTGGATGTTTTTTTTTTCTATAGAAATGGCTTAAAATGCTTTAAAGTTAAGATAATATCTCAAATAAGAGTAAAATTAATTCCCATTGATCAATGCTTACGAATCGAATCGACTAGCAATAATAGTTAAAACAGTAAAGTATTATTTTCTGTTGGACGAAGAAAACTATTCAGTTGCTATGTGGCTTAGCAGGGACGCCCACAGAAATGTAGCTCAGGGGTGCAAAAAAATTGTAAGTACCTAAATACTTATAGGAAGATTTACTGCTACATATTTCATCTACTCATATTTTGTATTACTATCATTAATAATTTTTTAAAAATCAAAACTCATTTAAGTTTATATAAAATTACATTATTAGTTATTAGTTTTAATATTTATAAGAAAAAATATAATAAAGTTTAAACAAAAAACAACTTTATTTGATTGAATTCGCATCATATTTTATTATTTTATTCAAAAAGTAATGACAATCTCCTTTTGTTTGAAGCAAATAAATTAATTGAATCATTATTTGTTGATTAAAAAAAATGTTAGATACTTGTTAGATACAAGGATTGTCGAATAGTCACTGAATACCCAAGATCAGCTTTATGTAAAATAACTTCCGATTTTGTAAGTGACGCGAAAATCTCAGGGGGGCAATGGCCCCCACTGGCCCCCCCATCCGGGTGTCCCTGTGGCTTAGGTATAATGTTTTTTTTTGGTCATACATAGATATTACAAACACTGATAACAATAATAAGTGACAGTTTGACATTCAACATCCCCTCTATGACGCTATTAAGAATTAGATCAAATAAATCACGATTACACCTGTCTTTATAAACGTTAAACATGTTTTTAATTTTAGATAAGAAAAAATGTCTGGATTTCTTACGATGTCAATCAATTCCAAGAATTCAAAGTCTTGTACACCAGGTATACTTGAAAAATATTTGTGATAAAATGATAAAGTGTTTGTACTGTAAGTAAAACATTTAATTAGTTCATTAAATCAATTATTAATACATTTTGGAAAATTTTAAAGTACAATAATAATGAACGTGAAATAATTTTAAAATTTATAATAAAACGCTAACACGGATAAGTAAAGCTAAACATAAATTTTATTTATTTTCCAAAAACTAGGACCGAAAATTCACTAATAACCAGTGGAAATGTGTTTACCTATGTGTCATATACGAGCAAAATAAATAACTCAAAATTAAAATATGTACATTGAAAATGATGTCAAATAAATGAAATTTTCAATGCTTTTCATAACACTAGTAGATCCAATAATTTAATTTGAAATAAAAATGTAATTTTTAAAGGGCTTAAGAATATTCTTGAACTTAAAATGCCATAAATATGAAGATTTAAAAACCACGCTCAATTAACAAGAAATTTTTTTTCGCCACCCCCTCCCCCTCTTCAGTTTATCGCTACTTCTTAAAATTTCAGACCCAGGGCCGTCCCGAAGGAGGGTCTTGGCGGGATGTCTCACCACCCCCCCTCAATGAAAACACCAGTCGGCACTCGACATTGTTTCATTATAGCTTAGAAGGACCTAATTTTACTTACGTAAAACAAATATTACATATTTCGTATTACAGTGTATACACAAATAAAATTTATATTAGGTACTAATTATTATACAATATAAAATATTATTATATATTTATATATTTATACATATAATTAAATTGTCAATTATAATAACGTGCGACACTGACACATATATACATGTTAAAAAGTAAAAATATGATTACTTATAGTTAATTATATTACTTATATCGAGTAAAAAAATTGGCATTTTTCATATTATTCACCCCCCCCCTTGATTTTCATCTTCGGGACGGCCCTGTTCAGACCTTCCCTTACCAACCCAAATCAATGAAAAATTTGCCCTTTACTAGTTTTGAATAATTTAATAAAATGTATATTCTTGAGTTTAACAGTATACAATTTCAAAGTTTTTTTTTTTTTTAATTAAAAAAACATATCAAATAATGATATAAATAAATGTTAGTAAACAGTTTAGTTACAATTTTTTTCTTGCTTACGCAAATAGATAGGTATCATAAAAAAACCACAAAAAATGAGTATACGTTACACCTTACACCAGTGGTATATCCAGGATTCATTTAACGGGGGCGTTTTAAAATTTAATAGACTTATGGTAAGTAGAGCCTCTGCCCCCTCCCCCGTACTACATAAATACATTCCATGTATTTACATAAATGAAAATGATTACATTAAGACAGCATATGTAAAACCTACAAGTTGTATACAACGTTTATTCAAATGATTAAAGTAAATTTACAATTTGGAGAAATACCATAAAATAAGGTCGATGAAGGGTGTTCTAACACCCATATCACCCCCCCCCCTAAATACGCCCCTGCCTTACACTACAGATTACGTACAAATATACGTAATATCGTTTAATAATAATTCGTTTTAAACGTTATCAGTCGTATTCGTATCACCATTGATTATAAATAGCATTCAACTCAAAATTATTTTATTCGATAATCCGTTATCAGAAAATCATTGATTAATCAAAAACTGCAATACAATATATGTTAATCAATGTTGGTATACGTTTTGTGATAAAAAAAATAATATTGTTAAATGTTATTATAATCGATAAATAAATAAATAAATAAATAAATAAATAAATAAATAAAACTGCCTCCCCTAAAATTGTTAAAATATACCCAGTGCTGGCCTGGCGGTTTTCGGGGCCCGGTGCAGAATTTTGCGGGACCCCATACAAATATATGAATTTATTAATTTATTAATTGTTTATATAAATCTATGTTTTTTCATATTATTATATAACTAAATATATACTATAACTGTATTTCGATCTGTCGTCGACGATAAACAATTTTATAAGTGCGTGCACTTATAATACTTCAAAGCTATGCGTAATTGGTACCATCTTAATTTTCATTGATAACAACCCGTTTACTGAGAAGACCACACGACCACGCGGGTGGCGATTTGCGTACTGGGACTTTATTATTTTTATTTACAAATAAAGTAATAATCGTTATTTATAATTTGTAGGGCCCCAAGGGCCAAATTCCTCAATTCAGCCTATTAAAAACAAAAGTTGGAAAATTATTATACAAAAATTACCTATAATAGCGAAAACAAGTAATAACTATACGATGTAAACCGGACGTAATTACCGTGATAGTGTTATCGGTCGTCGCCGTCACTTCTCAGAAATTTTTTAGCTCAGGGGTTCGTGTAAAAATTGTACAGTGATTGAGACGCCACAACTCGTGTATATCAGTAAATCAATTCTAGGTAAAAGAAATCGAAATTACGATAATGCAGCAGTACCGTACGTCAAAATTAAGCACAATGTACCGATCTAAATGGCATAATCGTTACGATCAAAATCGTCGGACCCTTTACATAAATAACTTATCGTTGTTACTAATAATTCTTTATAAAATTATATTGAACTTTTACGATTTACATCTGATAGGACATAATAAGCAGACTTAACAAACAATTCCTGGATTTCGGGGAGGGGGGCTGAAGTCCCCTAAGCCCCCCCACAAATATACCCCTGTAAGGCCCCATAAAAGCACGGGGCCGCGGGGGGCCCCCCCCCCCCCCCCCCCCCCCCCTAGGGCCGGCACTGAATATACCTATAACTAGAGACCGGATTTTCATGCAGTAAAAATCAAAAAAATGTGCAGTTAATAACTTAAAAATTGCAATATCGTGCAGTTAAGTGCCTTAATCGTGCAAAAATGTATTTTTTTCCTAAAATCGCTTAATACTTTCAAAAATTTTGTAAACATTCAAAGTACATTGATTTAAACGCTTGAATTATACTTTATTTTTCCAGTTTTTTACACTATTATAGGATTAGCAAAAAATTAATGAGTAATTAATAATTAAAAGATTGATATAAATATATACATATATAAAAAAAACCATACCAACAGAGTTAAGCTATACAATTTTAATTTTAACTATTATACATACATAAAAAAATGTATTTTTTTATTGAGTTAAAATTTACAATGTTATACATTTCAAAATTGTGTGCAGAAAAATTGTGCCTTCTATCACTCGATACGTCTTTTAATTTAGAAAATGTTCGTTTTACTTCAACTTTTACTTTAGTTTTACTTTCAAGTGTTAGGACTCATTTTGTAGCAAGCGACGATTGCAGGCTGTTGTTCAACATTTATATTTTTCGTACCATTTATGCAGTCGTTGTATTTTTTTATGAGAGCGTAACCTGTGTTTTTTTCCACAACGGAGTTAAATTTGTGAGCTATAATTTATCCTTTCTCGTTATTTATTTTTTTAAAACTTTCTCCTATAGTTTCAAATATTTCAACTTGTTTATTGAGGGATATATTTCGGGTTTCTAACTGAGTTAATGACTGGGGAAAAGTTGACAAATGTGATTTTATGAAAGTCAAATCAGAAATTATTAACGCCGAAGTTATGATTCTCTTCAATTTTTTGATAGTCTGTACGTCTTCATCCAATGCATTAATAAACATTTTAAATTTATTAAAATTTTCGGCATAAAATAAAGCTGCTTCCAACCATGTTCCCCACCTTGTGATCACAGGCTCTGGTGATAGTTCACATTCCATAATATTTTTATATACCTCTACTCGGTGCAGTGATTTAAGCAATATTTTTTCCCCATTATTTACCAGCTTGTTTACTTCTGGAAAAATTTCGCGGAATTTTTCTAATACTCTATTTAACCCGTGGGCTACACAGTAGGTAGTACATGGGTAGAATGTTTTCAAAGCTTGTCCAGTTTTTATCATATTAGGTGCCGCGTCTGTTACAAGGAGAAGCACTTTATACTGATAATCTGAATTTTGTAAAAAAAATTCATCAGATTGTCGTTAATAAATTGAGAGACAGTGTCATAATTTGTTTTAGGGAGAACCTTACAGGCAATTAAAAATGGCGTGTGATCAATTTCCTGGTGATGAATTCCAACCAAAAGGTTACATATATAAAGTCCTCTAGCATCAGTGGTCTCATCGACTATGACGTATATATAATGTTCTCCAATTTTTTGACGAATTTTAACCATAGTCGAATCGAAACAAACTTGCAGATACTTTCTCCTGAGTGTGCTCTCGTCAGGTATACTTTTATTTGTATATTTTTGTAAAAAGGATCTAAACGGTAGGGACTGCAGTTTGAAAAATGGTATATTTGCTCCTACTAAAGCCTGGCACAAATCAATATAAAATTGGTTTTGACTGCTTGGTGTTTCAAAAGAATCTGTAATTTGTTGTTGTATCGGTTTGTTTTTTTTTTAGTTTTAATTTATTCTGGTGAATAGGTAACGAAAAAATAATAATAAAAAATTGATGCTTAATTCTTAAATAAAAATATTGTTTCTTACCACTGTTACAATGAGCATCAATTTGAGATTTCCTTTCACATCCGATTGATTTTTCACAAGAAGCGCAGAAAACAGATTTTCCATCAGATTTCAACTCCGGGTAATTTGATATCCAGGTTTTAATTTTTGACGACAGACTTGACCCAATTTTTGGCATTTTATAAATTTGTTTATATTTTTTTACGTAAATTATTCGTAATGAAACTATCACGACACTAACTAATTTAAGAAACACTCAAACACAAAGTCAGACAGAAACAAAAGTGCTAATGGTCGGAGATTTCATTCATTATCTTCTTCATTATCTAAATTTTTACCACGAAACACTAATAAATTTATGTTATTCTAAGAATATTAGCAGCTTGGGTTCACTTTTTCCTTTTGTTTAGTTGAAAACCGAAATAAACAAATATTTATGTACATACCTGTATGTAGGTAATATAATTGTATATACCTACGGCTACCTATATACATAAATATATATATATATATATATATATTATCTAGTTTAATTTTAAAAATGCTGAATATGCAATTTCATGCAACGAAAATCAAAATCGTGCAATTTAGGATAAAAAATGCAAAACGTGCAATTTCGTGTAAAATAAAATTATGTTTAAATTATGTTTAAATCTGTTTCTCATGATTTGGATTTATAATTTGTTTTTAAATATGATTTAAAGCAAAGGAAAAAAAGTTGCAATTGCACGAGAATCCGGTTTCTACCTATAACCAATAGTAAACATTCAACTATTTTATTAGTGGTGTGTATTTATTATATTGATCACTCTACATATTATTTGCAACAAAAACAAAAAAAAAACATTTTTACGCATTTTTATGCACTTAATAATGACACAAATGCGCAAAATTATTTAAACCTGAAGAAAAAATACCAAGTCGGATTACGTGATTAATTTAACTGTACTGTGGTTCTTAGATGGACCGAATTAGTTTTTCACAAGCAATTCAATATTTCAAGCTATTGTGTTTTTATTGAATGTGACTCAGCTGTAGTCGGTATCTATGACTAAAAACGCGTATGTTATAATTTGTACAAAATCTTTTAGTAAACATTTATACTTATTTTTTTTATTAAATATTAATTAAATGATAAAACATTGAAAACAAATATAGTAGTTATGCGGAATTTTACCGATTTTAATTTGTAAACCGAATACCTAACTTCGACCGATTACAATATACATACCTATAAACAACAGTTATAAATAAATAAATATTCTGGCTAACTTTCGAATGGTAATGGGGAAACCTCAACTGCAAATGAATCATATATCAATACACTCACATAGTCATATTATTTTTATTACATATATATATAACTAAGTAGAGATATATTTAATTTGTAACTGACATAAGTGAACATAAATATTTGTTGTAGGGTAGCTTAGAACCAATATCAAGAAGAAACAATTATTTGGTAAAAATATAAAGGAGATTCAAAGAAGTTTGTAAACCTCTTTAGATGTCGAATTTTGAAATATCCTTTCTGAGGAGATTTTTGACATCATAAAATAAACCCTTTGACTAAATTTCAAATTTATAGCTTTAGCGATTCTGGCTAGGTAATTTTTTTTCTTTTTACCCTGTTAATCCCTGTAGGGGTTAAATTTTGACAAATCCTTTCTTAGTGGGTGTCTAAAACATAAAACAAAACTACTGTCCAAATGTCATATTGATAGCTTCAGCGGTTCCGGCTAGGCGATGATGAATCACCCTGGACTAGTAATTTTATACATACAGATTGTATTTGTTAGATGTTTGATGATTAAAAGACAAATGAGTAATGACTAGGGTTCGGATTCAAAAGCAATATAATTAATAAAAAAGTATTTAAAATGAGAAAAAAAAGGCTAAAAAAGGCATTTAATTTATATAGAAAGCAATTAAAATAATTACTTTAAAATTAAATAGACTAACTAATTAGTAATAAAAAAAATCCACTATCATGTTTTTAGATAAGCCATTTTTAGTAAAGCGTTGACGGTTTGGGCTTAAAATATTTTTGTACATAGAAAATGATCTTTCGACGTCCACCGAATTTATTAGGGAGTACTTCATATATAAATAATTATCTAAATTAAGATTACTAATAATTTTAAACATAACATCGACAGTGCTCTTATCGATTTGTACCGATGATACCTAAACTGTGTAAACATTTTTTAAATTAGTTGAAAATTAAACACAAAAAAGGTATTTATAAGTAAATAGGCCACAAAAAAAAAGCAAAAAAAATATTTATAAGAAAAAAAATGCAAAAAAAATACATCCATCATCTTGGATTTTAATTGAAACACATTTTAATACAAACATTATTTTTCTATTATTATTAATAATAAAAAAAAACTTTCGCCTTCAAATCCGAACCCTAGTCATGACGTTAATGAACAAACTATATTATTGTAGTAATATTTTAATACAAAATTATTATTATTCTTCAAAATTATCATACAACGATAATTATATGACATATATTTATTAGATATTGATATTTGTGGTTTATAGTTAATAATAATTTATTATTATTTATAGAAATATCCTTATATTACGATTACGAAGGCTACTTCCAATAATGGTCGGGTATATTTATAGTGCTTATACTTCATAACTATTATCTTGTAGATTACAAGTTGTAGTGCATGTATTAAATTAATATATTTAAAAAATACAGGCCCAAACCAGCCCGTGTCTTGATATAAAATATCGGGCTTATTAAAGCCCAACACTAATCTAGTTTTTTAAACCCCTGTCCACCTAAAATTGATTTTAAAACGCAAAGCCTACTCACACCCATACACTTAAAAGAAATATGCAGTCCTGCCCGACCCAGTGTACCAATGGACCGGGTCTGACTCAAGCCAGGGCTCTAGTAGGTACTAGTATTTATCATTTACTGGTCGTATTTTTATACTTTTGAGTTTTAAGTGTTAATGCGTGAAAGTTTGTTGCTGTTGACTCGTCGCGTTACTACTTACTGTGTTGAATATAAACATTAATTTCTAAAATTTGTATTATAAGCTTTACATTATTCTCCTTGTGGTTACATTGTGGTAACTAGATTCTTGTAATCAGTAGTAAAAGAATAACAACTCATATTTTCTTCATATTTTTCAAAGAAAAAAAAACCTAAGGATGCCGAAGAAAGTAGTTCGTTACAATCCCAGACCAAAGTAAATATTTATTTATTAATTAAATCTACAGTAACCTCTACACATTTTAATTTTAATTACATGATACCAAACAGATAATAAGTTTTTTATGTACCACTTATATTTCACCTAGTGAATATGTATTTATTAATTTGACCAGAATAGTAGGTAACTATTAGGTAACTATTATTATTATAATAATATCATGTTTGACATTTTTTTTTTGAACTATGCTCAGATTATATAGGTACTTCCTAAAATACAACGGAAAACATATATCAAATCAATTATATTATTTTACATCTCATAAGATCGTTTTATTGTTTCAATGTAGTATTAGATATGCGCATTTACAAACAATTAAAATTTTTTTGAAACTCTAACCTATATATACTTTGGCTCTGGTCAAACAGGCACAGATCCGAGAGGGGGGGTAGTCATGAGAGCCATGACCTTCCAAAAAAAACAATCAAGATTAAGTCCTTCGTGTTTATTTATAAATTAATATATGCAATAAAACAAAGGGGATAAAGCTTTGTCATTTAATTTTAAAATTAACAATAATTCTGAAAGTTCTAATTTTTTTTTTTTACCGTATAGTACATTTTTGTCCTTTCGAAAAAATAACCACCCCTAATAATAGTTCTAGGTCCGCGACTGTGGTCAAAGAGCATGTGATTGATTATTTTTTAAAGATCTTTAACCTAATTAAATAATTACATGAATAAATAACAAATATTTTTACACTAGGTAGTATTTAATAACTCTCTAAATATTATTTTATGCATAGGACATGGGTACATGTATACTGTCGTCGATTGTTTCGTCATTTCGCGTAACATCTATAATATATTAATGTCATAGTATTATATAAATGCAAACATATCATTTACTTAATTATTATGTTGATACTCAAAGAGATATAATCATTATCAACTAATACAATTTGGCTGTTTCTATTAAGTATACATTTTTTTTGTATAGGTACAGAAAAAATATTTAATGTGCTGAATTCTTAGACAAGTATAATTTTGTTGTATTTAGAAATATACATATGTGTTTATACAACCTTTATACAACTTCTATATTTATCAATTGAATATACAAATAGTATCTCCTACGCGATAATTTTGGATATAATTTTTATATGTGTGAAGTATGGAATAGATAATAATATAAACGAGTATAAACTAGAAACAACTTGTTGACTCTCAGTATGTTATATGTTAATCGTTATTCGATTAATTATATTTTTCTTATAGATTTATTTTATAACATATTTATAATATATATAATACTTTGTTGGTATTATATGTTTAAGAAAAACATAATATTTTTAACATACTATCTATTTATTTGTAATAAGTTAATTGAATAAAAATGTTGTACGTGTAACTGTTTATAAAAGTATGTTTTTTCAAAAGACAAACTTATAAGATATTAAATTTCGTTATAAAATTATATATTACACATTCATTTTTATTAAACTACCAAACAATTTTGTTTATTACAGCTATTTATCATCAAAACAAGTATAACTTTTTTTTTAGTTCGGATACCTGTCGTCAGTCGTCACAACATGTTTGGCATACTCTACAACTCCACCTTCATTTATCACCATGGTACACGTGACGATAATCGCGAAACAAAAAATTTTAAATGTTTTCGAATGCCAAATACCAATAGTATATTTTGTTAATATATTGTATTGAACCCGATAAACAGTAAATATCTATTAATTAATGCATGTGACATTATACGGTAGGTATATGTAGTACATATATACATACAATAATCAGTGGTACATATTATGTATGTACTACTGATTATTGTACATACCAACCTAATATATAATTTATAAAAAGTAACTATATAGATAATGATGACGAACTTAAAAACAGTGACGTCATTTTAGTTTTTTCTAGAGTTGGGCAGTTTGCACACTCTTATTATATTGTCGACTCGGTGGCTCATTTCATCAAATTGCCGATAAACGTTTGAGGAGGTGGACGTGAAACCAGACCAAAAATATAATGAATTGTACTTTTTGAATAAGTATTCGCATATTATACGTCTCATTTTTTTGATTTATTGTATACCAATGGCTTTATAAAAGACATTTTTATAATTTGATGATGTGTTGACTATAGAATTGTTAAACTATAAACTACTGCAATGCATGAGTTACCCCCCCCCCCCCTAAAATGATACCACTCATTGG